CGACATGTCCATCCTGGGCCTTCTGCAGTGCCACAACGATGCCACCCGAAGGTTGCAGGAACAGCACCTCATATTTCGCTTGGGAAGCCTGCAGCCCAATGGTATCAATGTGGACTTCACAAGCTTCAAAATCTCCCCTCCTGCAACCACATCCCAAAACCAGCCCAGCTTGTCCCTGCCCCCTTGACCTGTCCATCCTCCCTGGACTGATCTATCTCCTCCCTAACTCCCCACCTACACTCACCTTTACTGGTTCCATCCCGCCTCTTTAACCTGTCTGTCTCCTCTCCACCTATCTTCTCCTTTATCCATCTTCTATCCGCCTCTCCCTCTCTCCCGATTTATTTCAGAACCCCCTTCCCCTCCCCCATTTCTGAAGAAGGGTCTAGGCCCGAAATGTCAGCCTTCCTGCTCCTCTGCTGCTGCTTGGCCTGCTGTGTTCATCCAGCTCTACACCTTGTTATCTCAGATTCTCCAGCATCTGCAGTTCCTATTATCTCTGAAAGTATTCTCAACAGGCAGCAGCAATAATTAAGTACATTATTCAGTTCACAATCTGTCCTTTTGCTTACATCTTTGCTTAGCCAAGTGAAATGTTAACCTTGAATCCTTCAGCATTCATTCTGCAAAGTTTAGATTGTTCCTAGATTGTCAATAAAAGGAGCTACATTGAAATGTACTGTAACATCACTTGTGTTATACTTTTTCAGCTCTGCATTTTCAAGATTAGATGTGGTATCTGATACAGCATCAGACTGTTGGTCACCTTGACTTCAACATTAACATATGCCCTCGGTGCCCATATGGACTGCTTTTCTAACAGTCTGCAGTTTTCTGCAGTTTCCTTGTCTGTTACGCATTTACCTTACCTTCCCCACTGATCAATACGCTCTAAATGGGCATCAATAATGTCTTTTCCATTACAAGCCAAGCCTAAGCCATTCGGGAGAAACTCTTTGATTACTCCTTAAGAAGAAAAGAAATGTTGTAAATGTAGCAGATGCACAGCAACATGAGCCATACCTATTCATTGATGAAGCTTATTTAGTAGCATGGGCAAAAGATAGCACCCACTCTGATCACAGTAATGTACCCTGTGCTCAATTAACACAAGTGCCACCTCTCATGCGCACCAGAAAGCTATGAAGTCCTATGTTTAATGCAGCCAGTATTTCAGCAGCAATTCAAAGTGGTGGGATAACTGTTGTGGTTGTTTTGCATAGAAACATTATAAATATCTACAATTTCCAAATAATGCTAAAAGCTAAACTTATAATTCTGTATTGTAACTAACATAAAATATGTTGAGAAAAGCTCTCTTAAAGTACATCTAACGTAAAAGATAGACAAGAAAGGGTACAATCTCAAAGGAACTACATAACCAGGAAAATAAAAGAATGGCAAAGATGCTGAATGTATACAAAAACAAAATACTCCAGTTTCTGTAAATAAAAACAGGAAATGTTGGAAATACTGGTAACAAACATGGAGAGAAAAATAGAGTTAACATTTCATGTGCCTGTCCATGAGAACTCTCCGATGAGAGGGTCACAGGAGTTTTCATGTCAGATCACAGATCTGAAACATCAGCTCTGCTTAATAAGTCTGTAGTTTCTGTATTCATGAAGCAGAATGAAGGAACTGACAGGCAGAACAACCAATTAATAAAAGTATTGAAGAAGATGCAGTTTAAGAACTGACTAAGGTATGGATGGTTGGACAGCCTACGCTGGAATACATTGCAAAGTGTCCCGTACAGATCATGTGACAAAGCATGGTAATCCCTCATAACTGATGGGAGGGCTAAAATATTGACTTGCCTCAGCTGCAATGTATGTATCTTACTTCATTTTACGAGGTACATTTCTAGTAATGTGAGTTCCTCTTTCCAGGCTGGCAAGGGATTTTAAAGTCCATCAGAGCCAGGAACATAATGAATGTTCTACAAGGAATGCTGGAGCCCCATTCCCCATTCTACATCTACCCTTTGGAGATTGTCTCTGTGGATCCCCAGTTGCAGCATAAGACCTTAACATATTACCATAAGATATTGGAACAGAATTAGGCCATTCAGCACATTAAGTCTGTTCCACCATTCAATCATGATTGAAACATTTTTCAACCTCATTCTCCTGCCTTCTCTCCATAACCCTTGATGCCCTTACTAATCAAGAACCTATCTATCTCTGCATTAAAGATATTCATTTAGCTGTTGTGCACATGTAGCCTGAGGTCAGTGATGCCAGCTTTGAGTGGGAGACAAGCTTAGTCTTATCCTTTTATTCCGCCATGGGATGTGGGCTTTGCTGGTGATGGCAGCATTTGTTGTCTACTTAAACACTCCCCACTTACCCAGGGTTAAAATTACTGCCTTTATTTAAGGCAGCAGCTTCAGCAGAATTCAGATGGTTTGGAGATTAGTTCTCTAATGAGATTCCAATTAACCTAGGGGCTAAAATAAGTCAATTTATACCTGACTTGGCCAACAGAAAGCAGATGGATGGGTGGTTAAAATCAGCTGGGCAACTCACGTACAGAGAGAGCAGTCAATTAATACCACTTTAACCTATACATGAAGTGTACCATCAGGCTGCGACTACATTTTAAATTGTGCCTTGAGAAGGAATATCTTTTTGACTTCTGCCTCCACTTCAGTTGTTTTGGCTTCACAGGCTAATATCCATATTCAGCAACATATTGTTTAAATTTATTATGAATGCAATATTGTGACAATGACCAAATGTTCTCTTTTTTTCACAATGTTGATTAATAATTATCGGCCAGGACACACTTGCCCACTCTTCAAAATGATACTGAAGGATATTTTTATATCCAACTGAACATGCACGTTGGGCATTAGTTTGACAACAGGATGGCACATCTGATACTATTGTGTTCCCTCAGTACTGCACAAGATAGTCAGCCTTAGTTTTGCCTTCAGTGTGGGACTTGAGCCCAGGAACTTGAGGTTCAGTAGCAGGAGTTCTAGCAGCTGAACCACATCTGCCAACTGAAGGTAAAATTGAAGCATCTCAGGCTGGATAAGCACATTCAACACAAGTTTCTTTTTCCCTTGTTCATCCACTAGTGCTGTTTTGGAATCTTACAAGAAACATTCAGGCACTTCCTGTCCGGGCTATCCATTCCCTGCAGAAGTCTCCAAAAACGCCTGGCTGCAGTTTTCCTTCACCATAAGTGAGCCTCCTGTCACTCCAACACCCACCAGGTCTGTCAGTCAGATGTTACATTTCATACATTTGGGGCAAAAAACCAGCCGGCAGCACGTGGATAGATCTCAGGAGGTTCAAATCCACAGGCCTCACACCACTGAGGTCCAGCACATTTGCCACCCGTCCCCTGTCGACCAGAATCTGACAGTTGGGTAAAATAGGGACAAGGATGCATAATACTTACATATTACTGAACTTGCACATTCTCTCTGCACAAAACCTGCTTTAACAAGAATGAATTATCTCTGACAGACAGTACCTGAACTCTCAAGAGGTAGTCCACAGTTGAAATGATGATATTGACTGTTGTGTTGTTGCCCGTCTGGGTTCGTAGATAATTCTGGAAATCTTTAGACAAATAAATCAACATTTTAAATACGAAATGGGATCCAAAGCAATCATTATCTTATATATCTACAGCACATGTGCAGGTTAAGTATAACAGTCTGATACTATTCAAATCACAACCCAAAGATAACAAGAGCAATTAATAATCATAGTCCAATCTGGAGTATCCGAGAATTGGCCTGTTATCTTTACATCTTTCTTGTAAGTTTTTTTAAGCCAGTCTTGATAATTTTGTTTATGGAGGCTCTTGTCTTTAGTAAGAGAGAAGGTCTCATTTTTATGACATCTGGTGAATTTTGCCACTCTTTCTTCACTTAGGTCTTATTATTTTAAGTAGAGGCAAGTTTTGTTATTTTTTTCTGTAAGGGATGTCTTGCATAGTTGTATATGGAAAGCCTTTCTCTGTTACGGCATAACAAGACTATTTTTATTAACCACTTTTGGTGTGTCTGGGTCATGTCACTGTTTATTACAAACTGGGATCTTACAACTTGTGAACATAGATAGGATTATTATTTTGTATAAAGAATCTTATATTTTTCTGTGCTTGTCTTTTCACAAATCTGTGCATACTGGCCTTATATTTTACCATTGGGAGTCTGGCATTTTTATGCTTTGTGTTGCAGTAATTTGTATAATGGGTTGTTTGGAGTTTTGGTGTATTTGAAATTCCTATATTTACATCTTTTGTAATCTTACATGGTCTTTGAAATACATTTCTGGTTGCCCACCCCAAAGATTGTACATTCCTGGCCTCAATCCTTTCAAGAATCCTTTCAATCTCAAAGTCAGTTTTCAACACAATTATTGTATCAATAGTTCACCAGTTAAAAATCAAAACTGAATAAAATGTGAATACAACAGGCATCAGTTTTCCAACCATAGTGTAATGCATTGTCGCATGACCAATGAACACACATGCAGCCTTTGTTACACACCTGAGTTGTGACCTTCACAGAGCAGCTGGAGAAATCGAAAGAGATCACACGTAAACTCATCATCCTGCATCACCTTCTCACCTACAAGATGTCAGTGATAGTGAGAGTGCAGCATGTCAGTATCAGGAGCCTGGCAATGTGCATCCTAAATCTAAAACATCTGCACACTTTTAATTAAATTACAAATATATTTATATATACCACCTAGTTCCCAATATTTGCTAATCATAACTACTGTTCTATCAGAAGCCCACACAGTGCACTTCACAGATAGAGAACAAATGAAAACAGCCACACATAAAATATGACGATTAAAAATGAAATCTGAAAACACTCAAAACAAAACACATGAAAACTATTTTAGAAGTTGGCATGGCTATTGCCAATATTTATTGATTCCCCTAAAATTATATATTTTATAATTATATATAAATACATAATCAAAATGGTCTTGCATGTGCATGTGTATGGATTTAAAATTCAAAAGATTTCATGATTCATAATAATTTCAACCTTTTCTTAAAAGCATTAACTTGGTCAAAAAAAAAGGCTGGCCTTTTATGATGCTTCGTCAGTGACATATCTGGGATGTTGGGGCTACAGTGTTAATTAGGCTGTTTGCTTATTTGTTTACAAATTTGTAATTACATGAGCTTTAAGAATGATGATTCTGGAAAGCCAGGTTCAGAAATGTAGCTGCTTTTTGCTAATTTAGTTGTAAATCTAAAGCGGAGTGGGCAAGGAAAGTCTTGTGGGACACGAGTTGTGACGATTGTAAAACGGTAAGTGCCAAATCTTTAATGTAAATTATGGCTCTTGCTCTTTTCTTCTACAGCTCATGTTTAATTCAGTATGTTATGTAGTTCTTTTGAGTTTGAACATGTACAGAAAAGCAAATTTACAGGAGCTTAGGTAAACTTTCAAATGTGCTTGAGAGGTCGAAAATAATATTTCAGATTCTAGCAGCCAAAGCATGTTCACCTTAACTTTTTTCTTAACATTTAAATCCAAATTGGCTAAATTCAGGACAGATCTAAATGAAAGATAGTAGTGTTGCGAAGTTGGGTAGTGTGCTTGTGGATTGGGAGGCAGGAAGTTAGAATCTGGTGTTTGTAAAATGCTAGAGGAGAAAGCATTGCATGGTCCCTTTAAGAAATGATGTGCTTTTTCTACGCTTAGATATTTAAACAAAATATCTGTGAATATTGTGGATTGTGGGTGCACAGAGAGCCCTCACATTTTTATCAAAAAGCCGTACAGTTAGCAGGCCAAGCAGCAGTTTTGTTCTGTTATCAAGACAACAAGTTTTGAATTTAGCCAATTTTAATCAGGCACTTTGAGGCTAAAAACCAATTAAATTTAAATCTGACTGTTTTCGCAACATAGGACCAATCCTGTTGTAAGAAATTTATATGTCATCAAGGGTATTAGAGCAGAGGGCAGTTGGAAAGTCAGGATAGCAAGCCATTAACTCTTAAGAGAGAATCACTAGTTCTCACAGTCTTCTCTAAGTTTTAGAGAAAGTACTATTTAAATCAAAGGTACAAAACTCGTTAATATTCCGGACAGAAGAATTCGACGGAGAAGGCATTCCTGACAGAACATTCGACACAGAAGGGACAGAACATTCTGGAAGAAACATAACCTGGCTGTAATTGTGAGAGACTGAATTTTAAAAAAAATATATATTTTGTCTTTATTGGAATAGCATACCACTAGAATTTTTTATTCAGGAATAGAAAGTAGTTAGAAGGGGTTTATTTGGTTTGTTAATAATTTAGTCAGTTTGTTCACTGTTACAGTTAGATAAATAAACAGTTACTTCTTGATTGTAAAGTGAATATCAGGGCTTTATTCTATTTAACCACTAGAAGTTGAGGAAAAGCAGGTTACACCACTTTTCACACCCTTTTTAACAGATTATACGGTGAGGCACTCCTCTCTGAGTGTTTTGGTTTTAGTTCTCAGAGGGGGATCAAACTCCACTATAACAAACTGGGGGTTCATCCGGTATCTGAACGGATTTGGACAGATTTGAACAGATTTCGGGTATGAAAGGTCCCAGCAGATTTAAAAAAAGAGTTGGGGAGTAGAGTCCTAGATCCTTAAGTAAAACTTAGGTGAGAAGTGGAAAATCTGTTTAATTTCAGTTGCTTGCTGTTGGTTAAAAATCAAAACTGGGGAAATAGCTTCTAACATTGCTGACACTCCAAAATTTGCCAAGAAAGTTTAGAAAGACAGAAAAAGGAGACACTTTTAGAATTAGCAGATAGGCTAGAATTGGATTTAACTCGGGATAAGAAGAAAGCTGAAATTATAACACAGCGAGCCAATCATTTAAGTATTTCAGGGAAATAGTCAAATGTGGTGGAGTTAGAAAAATTAAACTGCAAATCAGCCAATTGGAGTCAGAAGATAAAGAAAGAGATAAAGAAGATTCCTAGCTGAAGAGAAAGAAATTGAAACAGCTTGAATTACAGTTAAAAGCTGACCAGAAAGAAAAGGAAGGAATCACCCTGGCAGAGAAAAAAGAAAAAGAGAGAGAGTTTGAACTTTGAAAGTTGACAATTACACAGGAAAGTCAATTTAAGTGGATGGAGATGAAGATAGACGATAGGTTTAGTTAGGAGGAGGGTGATGATGAGCAAACCCATCGTAGCCAAAGGCCTGGTAGGGATATATACAAATATGTCTAAAAATTACCAAAATTCAATGAAAAAGAGGTAGAAGCCTTTTTCATTTCTTTTGAGAAATTGGCTAAACAGATGAACTGGCCAGAGACTATGGGGGTAATGTTAATTCAGACCAAGTTGGCAGGCAGGACTAGTGAGGTGTTGCAGCGCTGTCAGGAGAGGAGTCAAGAGAATATGAAGAAGTAAAATATTATATTTTGAGTGTCTATGAATTGGTACCAGAAGCGTATAGACAATGGTTCAGAAATGCAAGAAAGGAACCAGGTGAGACTTATATCGAGTTTGAAAGAATTAAACAGAGCAACTTCGATAGATGGATGAGAGCAATAAATGAGGATCTTAGAGAAGTTATTCTGCTGGAGGAGTTTAAAAACTTACTTCCAGAAATGATCAACACTCATGCTGAGGAATAGAAAGTTAGATCAGCGAGAAGAGCTGCAGAGATGGCAGATGAATATGCATTACTGCATAAATCGAAATCTGGTTTCCGACAGCAATTTCATTCCGTGAGGGATAGAAATCAGAAAAGAGGTAGATCCTTCAATGAAAAACACAGGGAACAGTTTACCACATGTTAAAAAAAAACCCAAGTGGGTGGAAAAGAGGTGAAAGATCTCAGGTGTTTTCACTGCAGTAAAGTGGGACACACAAAGTCACAGCACTGGTGGATTAGGAGAGGCACTGGGAAAAAGGCTGTGGTAAAAGAGGCTAAACTAGTGGGATTAGTTGAGCAAGTGAAGGAAATCCCCAGAGAAGTCAAGAAGCTGCAGGAGAGTGCCCAGCCTAATCATGGGCTGGATAGTAAGATAGCACCTGATCTTTTTAAAGCCTTCACCTGTATGGGTAAGGCTTACTCAGGTAGAATAGCGGGAGTAGGAAAAGAAGTTAAAATATTGAGAGATATGGGAGCTGGTCAGTCTCTAATAGTAAGAGATGAAAATATATGCACTTCTTCTGAAATATTGCCCAAGAGTGATAATCTGTGGAATACATGGAGAGAGGATTAGTGTTCCCCCATGTAAAATAAGGCTTGAAAGTCCAATCAAGACTGGGGAAGTGATAATGGGAGTAATAGAAAAATTGGCTGTTCCAGGAATATCGTTTGTTCTTGGAAATGATTTAGCTGAATCACAGGTGGAGGAGCCAAAAGAGAACCAGGGAACTGAGGAGTTAAATGGAAAATACCCTGGAATTTTTCCAGATTGTGAGGTGATATGATCCCACAGCCATAAGTTAAAACAAGAAGGGAAAACAAAGGAAAAAGACGAAGGAGTTGAGTCCAGTTAGCTGATAATCTGTTTGATGAGATGATAAAGGAAAACCTAAGCAGGTCCAGCATCAGGCAGAGATGTTTAGTTCTGAAAGACTAATGGAATTACAACAGGAAGATGAAACAATAAAGGATTTCGATCATAAAGCCTACTCTGAAAAGGAATCAGAATGTATTCCAGAATGTTATTATTATCTTAAGGTGGAAATGGAGACCTTGGCATGTTAGCACAGGTAAGAAATGGGCGGAAGTGCACCAGATTGTGTTGCTGGTAGAACACAGACAGGAAGTCTTGCGAATTACCTGTAGGAGGTCATCTAGGAGTGAGGGAGACCCAGGCTAAGATAAAGAAGTACTTCTATTGGCCTGGATTACATAAGATGTGGTTGAATTTTGCCGTAGCTGTCATACATGTCAGATGGTAGGAAAGACACAGGCTGTAATAACACCAACACCTTTGATACCAATTCCCACATTTGAAGAACCTTTCACACAGGTGCTGATTGATTGTGTAGGTACCCTCCCTAAAACCATAATGGGAGCCAGTATTTGCTAACCATAATGGATGTGTCCACCAGGTTTCCAGGGGCAATTCCACTATGGAATGTTAGGGCAAAAAAGGTTGTGGAGGAGTTGCTTGCTTTCTTTACCCATTACGGAGTACCCAGGGAGATTCAATCAGACAAGGTTCCAATTTTACTGCCAAATTATTTAAGGAGGTTATGGATAGTTTAGCCTTCCAACACTTTAAATCAAGTGCATACCATCCTAAATTCCAGGGAGCATGGAAAGGTGGCATCAGACCCTAAAGACCATGCTAAGGGCTTATTGCCAGGATTACCCAAATGATCGGGATAAAGGTATCATATTTATATTATCTGCTATTAAAGATGCTCCAAATGACTCATTTTACTCCATTTGAATTGATATTCAGACATGAAGTAAGAGGGCCTTTAAAATGAATTAAGGAGAAGTCGATAGGTCCGAAGTCAGAGATCTCACAGTTGGATTACGTATCTGAGGTGAGAGAAAGGTTAAACAGAGTAGGTGAATTAGCTAGACAACATTTGAAAGGTGGCACAGCACATAATGAAGCAAGAAGCGGATAAGAAATCTAAAATTTGTAGATTTGCCCATGGGGATGAAGTATTGGTGCTGTTACCAATGGTAGGAGATCCCTTCAAAGCAAGGTTTCATGGTCCCTATCAGATTGAGAAGAAGTTAAGTCAGGTGAACTGTCTGGTAAAGATGCCAGATAGGAAAAAAATATTATCAGGTATGTTATGTGAACATGCTGAAACCTTACTATGACAGGGAAAGGGAACCAGAGAAACAGGTAGTAGTTTCTGCCACTCAGAGTGAGGAATTAAATCTAGGTGATTCGAATTTTGACTTGCCTCAGAATAAATTGAATAATAAAGAAGTCCTTGAAGAATGGGATTGGGTAGTGAGCTATCTGTCTCAGGAACAGAGAACTAAATTGAAAGACTTATTACAGTGCCATGAGGACATATGTAGAAATAGAATGCGGAGGACTATTGCCATAATATGAGAGGTTGACATAGGGAATGCCATTCTGATAAAACAATGCCCCTACAGACTTAATCCTCTCAAAGCTGCACAGGTTCGGAAGAAAGTGGAAGCGATGATCCAAGACAACATCATCAAGCCGAGTCAAAGCGAGTGGAGCTCACCAATCGTGTTGGTTCCCAAACCTGACAGTACTCAACAATTCTGTGTCGATTATTGGAAGGTCAATGATCTTCAAATTTGACTCATTCCCAATTCCAAGGCTGAAGTATTTTGTCGAAAAAGTAGGACAAGCCACTGAATTTTTTGAAGAGGTAATGAGGATAATTGATGAGGGAAGGGCTGTGGATATAGTTTATATGGACTTTAGTAAGGCATTTGATAAAGTCCCACATGGCAGGTTGGTACAAAAACTAAAATCACAGGGATCCCTGGCTAGATGGATTGAAAACTGGCTTGGTCATTGAAGACAGAGGGTAGTAGTAGAAGGATGTCTTCCAGTAACTAGTGGTGTTCCACAGGGATCAGTCTTAGGTCCTTTGTTGTTTGTAATACATATGAATGATCTGGAGGAAAATGTGGGTGGTCTGATAAGCAAGTTTGCTGATGACACGAAGCTTGATGGAGTTGCTGATAGTGCCAATGATAGTGCCAACTTGTGAAAGTATACAACAGGATATAGATAAATTGGCGACTTGGGCACAGAAATGACAGATGGAGTTTAATCCAGACAAATGCGAGGTGATGCATTTTGAAGGATCAAATTTAGGTGTGAATTATATTGAAAATGGCAGAACCCTTAGGAACACTAACATTCAGATGGATCTGGGTGTGCAGGTCCACAGTTCCCTGGAAGTGGCGACACAGGCAGCCAAGGTGATTAAGAAGGCATATGGTATGCTTGCCTTCATCATCCGGGACGTGGAGTACTGGAGTTGGCAAAACATGCTGCAGCTATATAAAACCCTTGTTAGGCTACATTTGGAGTATTGTGTGCAGTTTTAGTCACCACATTACCAGAAGGATGTGTAAGCTTTGGAGAGAGTGCACAGAAGGTTCACCAGGATGTTAGATAACAAGGTGTAGAACTGGATGAACACAGCAGGCCAAGCAGCATCAGAGGAGCAGGAAAGCTGACGTTTTGGGCCAAGACCCTTCTTCATTTCTGAGACAACAAGTTTTGAATTTAGCCAATTTTAATCAGGCACTTAGAGACTAAAAACCAATTAAATTTAAATCTAAATTTGACAACGGGGAGGGCAGTCGGAAAATCAGGAGTGTGAACTGCCATCTGCAAGAGTTAACAGCTCTCAGCTCTCAAGGGAGAATCACTAGTCTCACAGTCTTCTCTAAGCTTTACAGAAAGCATCATTTAAATCAAAGATACCTACGGCACAACTAGTTAATATTTCTGACAGTTGAATTTGACAGAGAAGGCATTCCTGACAGAACATTCGATGGATAAGGCACAGAACATTCCGGAAGACACATAACCTGCCTGTAATTTCAAGAGACTGGATTTTTTTATCATTTTGTTTTATATAAGTGGGACTTGTATTTATTGGAGCAGCACACCATTAGAATCTTGTTTTATTCGGGAATAGTTAGTATTTAGAAGGGGTTTATTCTGTTTATTAATAATTTAGTTAGTTTGTTCACTGTTAGAGTTAGATGAATAAATTGTTACTTGTTGATTGTAAAGTGAGAATCAGGGGTTTATTTTATTTAACCACTAGAAGTTGAGGAAAAGCAGGTTACACCACTTTTCACATTCCTTTTAACAGATTATGGGGCGAGGCACTCCTTTCTCAGTGGTTTGGTTTTAATTCTTGGGGGGGGGGGGTCAACCTCTGCTTTATAACAGTAGAAAATTGAACATTTGCATGACATTCTTGAAAGTAATGGCACTTACAGCGATAAAGAAAGGAAACAGGTCTCAATATATTTTAGTAACCTGGAATTTGTGAAGATTCCCAAAGCAGTGTCTAATGTGTCCCCTGTCATAAATGCAGTCCCTCACTCTCAGATTCATTGATTTCCCAAGTGTGGTTGGGTAATTGAACACTGTTCAAAGTTAATTGTTAGAATCTGGATCCACCACTCCACTGAGTTCCCAGTCTTTGCTGTGCTGCCTTGGGAAGTTACTAAGCAAGTGCCCGTGAGTATACTGTGAGATGAAGGACACATCAAACAATGGCTCATTGCTAGGCCACTGTTGTACTGTACACGTTGCTCTGCCATACCATATTTAAAACATTGTGAGAAAAGGAGGATAGCATAAAGAATTTTTTAATAGGAAAATAACATTTGGTTGAGTATTCCAAGTTGTAAGCTTCAGAAAGAGTCACTTTGTTGTGTGTGGAATCATTCAAGCTGAACAATCACATTTAAGTAAGCTTAGTGATGGAGCAAAGTAAAGATCTGAGCTCAATTTTAATCAATGAAACTAATCATCCCAACCAAACCTGTTGGAGTTTGGCCATGAACCATGTCAACAATTCTAAAATATGGAGACTACTGACAAGTCATGGCTGATGAAAAAGGTTAATGCTTAATGGCTTTATGACTTCATGTGGGACTTTTCAGGTGTGTAACTACCGATGGAATACAGTAAGTGAAACAACGATGTAGTGAAAAGAAAAACAAGAAGTGTTGATAGTTAGTTGAATGCGAATTCAATTACTGACTAATCTCAAAAAAAACTTGGCTGAAAAAGCATACTGGATCCAGAAACGTGGAAATTACCTTTGTTCTGTGGCCTGATAATTTCCATGGACACTGTGAAAGATGGGATTGATGCAATAGGATAGCAGGGACCGGAATTATAATTGACTTTTTCCAAGTTCCTCATGTAATTTTAGTGCAAGATTGGTACATGCTCCTCAGAAATGGTGTAAACAACAATGTTATTTACATGGAGTAGAAACCAGGACAGAAAACAAGTACCTAAACTATTTCAGAGTTGAGGGGTCAGTCAAGGTCAGAACCTTATTCTTGGTGATACTGAAGCTGTTTATTACAATCATCAGTATTCATGGTTGACTGATGATACAGCCATGAAACTATTCCGAAGATTTCCAATAAGGTGCAGAGATAGTTTGATCCTTATTACACCTGTTTTCTCATTTTCAGGCACCAAAGGCCTCAATGGAGGTGTTCTATCCTTTTCTGTATTCTATTAAAATAGTTTTATTCAATTTTGGCAAAATGGGACTTTTCTTGTCAACTACAATTCTTAGCATGGTCAATGAAATTAGACCCTTGCAAAACAATGTCCACACTGTGAAAACTTTAACAGAGAACTAATTGACTGTTATTTTCCTAAGACTAATATGTCCAGTTTGTATCATGAAACATTATTCTATTTCTGCAACCAGTATGCAATTCTGATTTCTGGAGTTTTACATTTAACAGGCTGAACCTCAATAGCCAAAACAATACAAAGGCTTTCTGCCTGAACTTCACATTACAATATATGCAAAGGAAACCAGTTGCAAAATAGGGTAGATAGTAAAACAGAGATTAAACTCACAGAAAAAATGTCATCTGCATCACAACAAATAATCAGCGCCATTGCATTTTAGTTTTTAAAGCAACTGAAAAATTAAATTAGGTACAAAATTTAACACCAAAAGTCTTTTAGTTGTTACTTGCACATTGACAGGTGCAGCCATAAAGCCACATTGAATACACAACAAATACTACAGTAACTGTACACCACAGTTTGGCACATCCAACCACCGCATCACTGCCACTTAACGGCTCACAGTTCTTACATCTAGTGTGCCAGTTACTGTGCAAATCCTGAGAGAGAGGCAAAACAGATGTGAAGTTGGCTAAAAGGCTTAAACTTTTCTAAAGCAAAAACAAACAAAAATATATGTTTTCTTTTGTATTAACAACTATGCACAATGTTTAAAGAGTGCGAATTGGCAGAGTTCAGGACCTGTACAGTGCTGACACAAGGTAACAAAGGAAATGGCAGAGTTATAATTACCGCGCTCATGAGTGATGACTGAGGAGGGGAAGACAGAACAATTGAAATCAAAAGAAAAAAAAATGAGGTTAGGTAGTTAGAAATTATACTCAACTTCGTTCTAAATTTTATAAGAATTGGGTAGGTTGAAAGAGGTGAAAACAGAATTGTAAAAGTCACACAAAAATAAAACCATATATTAAAGAAACAGAATTATATGCATCTTCTTGGTTTATATCTAATAAATAACAAAGGGTTTATGTTATTTAAGAAAACAATATTTTTCAATAACTAACAAACCCTGTGTTTAACATTTATTTATGCAATGAATTCAAAATGAACAGTTCAACACTTAATTACCTTTTTTTAACAAACAAGCACACATGCACACACATGTCCTAATGCACAAGTACATAGGTTTAATACTTAGTGCTGTTGAAAAGGTACTTGAAAAATTTGTGCAGTTCAGAAGTCCTTTTTTGCTCTTTAACATCTAATCCTAGCATTTGCTGAATATCTAATTTGGTTGATTGCTATTTGTAATTTGGTAAGCAGTGCCACATTTCTCAAACAATGGTAGTTAGTGAGTGATTTAGCATTCATGGAACACAACATTACTTTTGTTACATTTTAACACAATCACATAACAAGTGAAGAAGCCATAGATACATCATGATTAAATGGCAATGTCTATTGAATGGTATTCAAGAAAATTACACTGAAGGATGCTTCAAAGTCAAGATGAAGAAGGACAAAATAAAGATGAATGTGTACAACATTTGAAAATGGAAAATGCAGCAGTATGATTGGCTTGTGTGCAAGCAAAACAGAGGCTTCCAGATCAAGTATGTATTAATAAACATTTTTGGAATAGTTCAGTTTTTGATCTCTAATCTACAAAGGATACCTCTAAAATGATTAGTTGAGAACACCAAGGTTTGCAGTAAGCAGAATACTTTTGTTCTAAGAAAGTAAAATGCATAATCTTTCGATAAGTAAAGCTGCAATGCTGCTGGTGCATTGTGCATCCATTACATGTTTTTCTTTACTCAGTTTGGAGGATAACATAAATTCATAATGAATTTCTGACACTCGTAGCCCACAAATCACCATTTGTTGTCACGTATGATATGGGATTCATCCATTTGTACTTTAACAGAAGAATTTATTACTTTATTTTAAGGTAAAATGGATTAATTCTATCATGAAAGTAAGAGATAAAGGAATGCCATACAAAGCTGTTCACATGCTGCCATTATAAATAGTATATAGAAATAGGAGTAGACCATTCAGCTCCCTGAACCTGTTCTGCCAGTCAGTGGGCTGGCTTACTGGGATCCTAACTCCTCCCTTTTGCCACCCTAATACCTTTGGCTAGCAGAAATCTGTTTACTTCAAAGTTAACAAAATTAACTGAGCTGCCATCCAATACCTAATGTAGGATAGAAAATGTAATACTTGTACTTCTATCAGCATTAGTGTGAGGTCATATTTCTTAACTTTTTTCTCCAAAATGATCTGACTCTGATTTCGAATTATATTTCCATGTCTTTAACTTGCCACCAGCGGAAAACAATTCCAAACTATCAACTCATTCAAACATTCTAAAAAAGCTCAGTTAAATTACTTCTCACTTTTGCTTATAATTTGATTCAAGGATCCCTAACAATTTGATGTGCTGTACCCTTTCCAAGGCCTTTCTATGGTGCAATGCCCAGACATGCGCACCCTACTCCCAATATGATCTAACCAGAGTTTCAGATGGATGGAAAAATCTTTCTTCCATTTACATTCCAGTCCCTCTGAAAAAAAAGGTTGAATTTCCAGTCACGTTCTTGATTTTGTTTTTTTAACCTGACTGCTATATTTTTGTGATTGTGTAAAGGAATCCCAAAATTTCTCTCAACCTAGCAGTAGTGTATTACACCAAATCATTCTTTTGAATACTTCCCACTTTCAACTGCAACTTTACCCAAGAAAGTATCTGATTGGCTTGGTGTCATCTTTCTCTACCTCACATCTGTTAAAATTAGCTTCCCTATAACCCAGAATCTAAACAACGTTGCTTGTTCTTCTAGTAGTTTGTAGGTTTATAATTTTGCATTAGTCTTTGCAACAGGAGAAGAAATATGATTGCAATTATTCACGGACTATTTTTAAGACAATTGTCTCTTTACTCCAGGCTTCATTTCCATTCAAAGGTTGATATTTGAGGTACAGAAATGGCCGCTGTATTGATGGCGTCCACTTGAATTTGGCCATAGATGGAGATATTATGATATACAAAACATATTGATGACTTTTAGCATGACTGTTGGTGTTTTTTTATGGTTTATCCAAATAAAACCCTTTAAAATGCACGTACTTACTAGAATCCCAATGACAAACTTTAGTGAAAATGCAAGTTCTCCAGACTTTGGAAATGGATGAAAATGATAATAGTTTTCTTGGAGATACAGGGGCTAATACCTAAACATTGCCTTTTTTGATGGCAAGGGTGGCAGATCTAGTAGAGTTGGACAGAGCCGGTGCTATAATTATGCTGCAAAAGACACTACAACTGCTGCATTGTAAATTTATTAACCATGTTTTCGTATAATTTCCAAAAATGAATACATCTCTGTTACCAAATGACTTAAAAAGGCATCAAGAGCAGTAGATCATCATCATTGTCAAGAATCAGTAGTAGATCTTGCCATATACCACTCTTTCTAAATATTGAAATACTGCAATATAAATGCTTTACACAAATACATACTGCAGCTATAGCATCTTTCTTAAAGAACTTTATTTAATTACTTTCAAGGATTATTTATTTCTGAGCATTTTAATAGAATCAGAAATTTGAAATCAGAAATTGAAGCAGTGCTGTGATCATTGTCAGCTTGTGAAATACAGTTGCAAAACAAAACCTAAGAATGTAATCTCATGTTCAGTTTGCCATACCAGTATGTAAATATTTAACACATTTATATGAAATCTTCCATCTCAAATGGAGGAATTAACCTATATAAAGCACACAAGTTTACAGCTTTATTAATTGAGCACAGGAAGACTTTTCATACAAATGCATTAAGTGTTTGCATGCTAGCTAGTAATTCATGGCATAATTACAAATGAATAGTGTAATTTTCCTCATTTTATTAGAAAGCTTAGAAAAGATGACTAGAATACCATATTGTGTTTCAGCATATACCTGATCCCTCTTCTGTCACCATGCCAAGCCCTTCTGCTTTGTTTTGGCGTTCAAATGCATTTAGATCAAGTACACTGCAAATAACAGAAATAGATAAATAATTCTTTTTAATTTTTCTGTGATTAAAAACATGAAATACAGGGTTTAAAAATGATGATTAGGCTCAATTGATCCACAGATGATAAATTTTTAATTACTCTCAAACAGTAAGAAGTTTTTTTTTAATCTTTTCATAATGCAGTATTGTGACAAACTGAAATGCATATTTTGAGTTGTATCATGCTTTAACTAAAAACGGGCTCCAATGTCCAAAAGGTGGATGTCGAAAGCCTGAATATCTCACTCGAACCATTTGCCCCTTTTAAAAATTATGTTAAGACCAAGCCTGCAATTAGAGATTTTCCACTTCTTTTTTGAAGTTATCAACTACTTAAGAAAATGGGTGGGGAGGAAGAAACATGAGATTTTCATGACCAAGAGACAACTCACTATTGTCTGTAATATTGTACATGGGAACATACGGAAAAATATATGAAGACATCAAGTTCATAGGCATTCACTAAACTTGATTTACTGGCAGAAGAAGAGTTCTGTGTATTACTGATAAACGTTGCTTCTCATATATTACATGCAGTCATGTCAATATCACGACCATACAAATAAGGCAGAGGGTGGATACTGTGCAACGGTTGATTCACCATCTGATCCTTGAATGGCTCTGAATTATATACAAAGCTCATGTAAAAGTATGTTGGAGTAGTCATTATTCAGCTGGATGGGTGCAGATGCAACAATATTCAAGAAGCTTGATGATATCCTAAAGTAAAAAAGTTTTCTTGCTCACTTAACTCAATATTGTTCATCTCGACAGTTGTCTGCAGCATGTGCTATCTAAAGGTTGGAATGCAAGCTTATTTTAACAGCATTTCCTGGCCTTACGGCATCTCCCATCAATGGGTACAAGGGCAGTTATGAAAATGTTATCAATTGCAAATCAGCCAAAAGCCACATTTTTTTTTCAAATGGCATAACTGAATATGTAGCACCATTCCTAAATCAGGATTGGATAAAAATCCTAATATTTCCTGTTCATATCCATTGTTAAACATATCAATACCCATAAACTGAATTAGGCAGCAAAAGATATTATTGTAAGTTTATAGTTTAGCACAAACGCCAGTTTCCACCTTTCCCTTCTAGATACTTTGCCTGTCCAGAAGTTAATTCCCATGAGGGAAGAACTTAGCTCTATACTTTTTTAAATCAGCCTGTTCAGACATGTTATGGCATACCTCTGGAGAAGGTGGGACTTGAATCTGGACCTCCTAGATCAAATGTAGGGACACCACCCTGCATCACAAGATCCCAAGAACTCAGCTCTATTTTTTACTGAGACAAAAGAGGGCCTCGGGTTTTTCTTTTGTGAGACAGAAAAAGACACCTTTGTGACCAGAATTTATACAAATATTGTTTTTCTTCCATCACCCATGTGGCCAATTAAATATTTATAAGCAAAGTCTGTTAAGGGCAAAGTTAGCATCAAAAAGTGAGGGGAGAGAGGGAGGGGACTAAATCAAAATGGAGTTGGAGGGAGAAATAAAGCACTGTATTCCCCACAAGTGAGAACTCAGCTCTTTTTTTTATTTAACATATTTTTCTAGTCAACCTGCTCAGTGATGTTATTACACATGTCGGGTTCAGGTGGGACTGGAATTGGGCCACCCAGCCCAGGGATATGGACACTACCATTGTGCTACAAGAGGGCCCTAGAATTCAGCTCTTAAATTCAAAGTCCAGTGAGCATCACGTGCTCTCAATCAACTCTGGAGTTGTTCTGATTGACCCTTAAAGAGACTTGCATTTCTAACACTGACTGGATGACTGCAGTTCCAACAGCACTCAACAAGCTTGACTGCATCTGGAATAAAGCAGCCCATTTCATTGTACTGCAGTTTCAGCATCCACTCCCTCCACCACTGGCACTATAGCAGTAGTGTGTACCATTTACAAGATACACTACAGAGTCTTCTTAGTCACACATTTCAAAGCCACAACCACTGCTACCTGGAAGAATAACAGCAGCAGATATACTTTGAGCTGCAAGTTCTGCTCCATGCCACTCACCATCCTGACTTGGAGCTACATTGCTGTTCCTTCACTGTCACTGGGTCAAAATCCTGAAACTTGCTTCCTAAAAGCATCATTGGTGCACCCTAAACCAAATGGACTGCAGCAGTTCAAGAAGGCAGCTCATCACCACCTTCTCAACGGCAAATAGAGATGTGCAAAACATGCTGGCCCAGCCTGTGACGCCCACTTTCCTTGAAAAAATAAAAATAACTAAACAAAGTGAGCATCATCACCATAAAGATTGTAATCTATCAAGGAGAAAGTCCCATGCCACCTTCTCATCTAATATATCCAATAAATAACATTATTGATAAAACTGTCAAAAATCTAAGGCATTACTCATCAGCTATGTGGTTCAAATTCAGTTGCAGAACTGTGGATGGATCCATACAGAAATATCGGCAATGTGCCAGTCACTTTAAATTTCTGGGCTTTCAGAATTGATACCATACACCAGTCATTCAGCATTTACCGCTTGGTCAAGATATAGAGTGCAGTGACTGTAACGAGGTCAGCCAGCTGGACTTCATAGAATATGAGTTCCCTGATTGGGGCTGTTAATCTGGTTCAAGCAGGGAGCCCTGGCTGACAGATAAAAAGGGGAGTGTCAGACATACTGCCATTCTCACAGCTGACTCTGAAGAGGCAGTGCAAAGTCAAGCACTGATCATGTGTAAATACAGGGTGACTTGGTGACAGGATTTCATACAGCATATTCTCTAAGTAAGCCATTCCCACGTCTGAACCAAAGAGGTCAAGAACCATCAGCTAGACTGCAGGACGTGAGCAGAGTACTACTACAATCAATAAACTTGCTGAACTTTTCAGGATTCCCTCGCTCAAATATGACACATCAGAACACTGACTACCAAGAACTATCAAAGAACTAAGAGCATCATCACCTGGAAGGATACTTCAGTTTGTCAAGGAAGTATATGCAGAGAAAGGGTTCCACAGCATTCCAAGACATCGAGAAATCCTATTTTTTGTGCTTGTGAAAACTGCACATCTGCACAGACAAATCAGTAAAATTGACCCAAATATTTATGGCACTCATGAATCAGCTGTGAATCCATAAAGTCACTGAATCCACAAAACTGTGCTTTGAAAGAGAATTTATCTTCCACTAATACCTTCGTTTCTTTAGTACTTAAACAACAATAAAGCATAGCTGCTTCACAATCTGACATTTAGCCGATGCTATGAAATCAGACTTCAAAAATGTAAAAATTGGTTCTGTTGTCAAATATCTGGAAATAACTATAGCATCTGATGACTGAAAGAATAAATTAACAGTTGCAAATTTGCTCAGGTGCCTTATTAGAGTTGTTTTCGCACTATATTGCAGTTTATTTTCTGTTGCTTGGTCAAAACCCTGGAACTGCCTTCCTAACCACACTGTGAGTATATCTACCCACTGGGAGCTCAGCACCTTCTCAATGCTAATTAGCAATGGGCAATAAATGCCAAGCTAGAGATGCCCACCTGCCATGAACAGATACAAAAAATCCCTTCAGCACAAATGTTTTTCATCCATCCAGTATCAGATCCACTAGCTGGTAACAGTGACAAGAGTATCTGGAAATTTGGTAAATGACAAGTCAAATAGTGGATCTCCTTAACCAATAAGTGTTATTTATTGAGAGATAAACAGGGGCAAGTGTGGAGAAATTGAAGGATTAGCTGGTGAATGCACCATAACACTACATCAAGTCTATGTCTTACTTGTCTGACTTTAAAATTGGCATGACTGCGCACAGTATATGAGAAACTACCTTTCTCAGCAATACCCAAAACTATCAAATCAGCTATGAAAAAAGAAATAATGAGAAGGAAATAAAGATTGGATTGAGAGATAAAAAGAGACAGAAAGGAAAGTAAGAGAGCATTTCAAAAACTTTAACAAGTTGCTATATTAAAGTAATAAAACTCCATATTTCAAACTTTTCACTGGCTAAGCAAGAGCACTTGAATAACTATTCTTACAAAAAAAACACATAGTTAAACAAATACTTAAGCTGTTAATTACTAGATTTAAATTTTGATGGTGAATTTAATAGGTAGTGAATACATAAACGCAACAATTTCATAAAATTCATTGGGATATTATGCACAGAATATGGTGTCCATAAAGTTAATAACAGAGTGGTCCAAATTGGCTTAGCAACTCGTGGTAATTTCCATTCCTGGGCTAGTTCTGTCTTGCCACCATCAAGAGCCAATTTGCACATTAATAACAGCATGACTGTTCACTTGCTGTTATTTTTTCAGTGATATTCTAGGTCCACACATGAGTGATTGTCACAAAAACACCAGGACTGGTGACCTGGAAAAGAAAAACTCCCTTAAGAATGAAACATTGCATTCTCAATCCTGGAGTTACAAATGCAAACAAGGTCTGTGGGTGAGATCACCAGTGAGCTGCTGAATCAAATTTAATTCAAGCTGGCCGTATTCTGACCACAATAATTAAAAACTCGAAAAAGTAGAAAATGAGCTAAAGGAAGTGCTGAAATCCCTCTCAAATGGAGCAAGGTATGAACTGGAGGAGAACATGTGGTAATCTTACCTGCAAGACTGCATGAGGCCAGCGAGACTCTGAAAGAAACCTACATCCTTCTTCTCTTTTAGACAGTCCAGCATTTTCTGCAGAAGATAAAAACCAGACCTCAAGTGATGGATTAATGACTAGAAGTTGCAGTTGTATCAAATACCTATTATAATTTCTGTTTTAACGTATCACATTCAAAGGAGGTAGAACATTTTCTGATGGAGGGTGAGTCAAGGAAAGATATTTGAGATGATTAGACAAAGAACCAAATATGGAGGTTCTGTGGCACACTTGGTAACAATATTACCTTGGCCCAGAAGACCCTAAGCTCAAATCGCTCTCACAGAATCGATAGCGACAGAAGGGATCTTTAGAATGTGGTTCAATAGTCGTTATGCAAGCTGCAAATTACACCATTGTCCAAGGGGACAGAAGTGTACAAAGTTGAATAAAATAAACAAGACAGACACAATATGGATTCCATAATGAGTTAACCATGGGCAACCGAAAATTGCTGAATTGTTTTTGAAAATAAACTGACTTAATAAACAGAAGAATGTCTATGGACACAGTCCATATGGACTTCTAGACACATTTGGTTAGTTCCACCTTCAGGAGGTGAAAAGCTAACAGGAAAGCTGTGGAATTAAGGGTAAAACTCTGAGATTGGCCTTTATCTCATATCACCGAGTAAATCACAATCTCAGGTATTCCAAATGGGAGGAAGAAATATGCAGCATTCTTTAAGGATCTGTGCTGCAGCCTCAATGACTCAGTCTAACTATTGATGTCCGAGAATGCACAATAGGGAGACATATATTGAAGCTTGCTGATAATATAAAGATTGATGGCTTAGTATATAGTGTAAACAGGAGCAAATATTTACAAAGATTCATCTAGCCTACAATGGGCAAAACTATGGTTGATGGATTTCATTGTATCATAAGGTTACATATTCAAACTGCATTCTAGACTCCAATTGTGGTCTAATCAATGTCTACTACAGATTCATCATCAGCCCCTTGCTTCAGTATTCAGTCTAACTTACCTGTTGAACTGTTGAGTTTCCACCATTTAGAATAGCAATCCCAAGCTTTAGAGTGGATGCAACCATTGGTCCCATCTCCCCTAAGGAAAATGAAAGCAGCTACTGAATACATTTATTTATAAACCCATTTTAAGCAAAGGTACAATATCGTGGGTCCACTAATGGACAATAATGCGACGTTGCTGGGAAAAGCCTTAAATCTTCATTCTCATAGTTCTGGCAGCATATTTCATAGCATTAAGAGGCAAATGTGTCAAAGCTAAATATTTCACCTCTAGGCTTTCAGAAATCATAATGCAGGTGGATTCAAACAATCCACATCCAGTGAGAAAGTAACAATTAGGTGTTCAGAACAAATCCGCAAAGACTTTAGTGATTAATTTAATGGATGTAGGAGATAAGAAGACTAAAGTCCCATTTGTAGAATTTTCTTACTACAGGGACGTCTCTCAGAAAATTCTTTAAATGTCCTGTACTGCAAGGGCAGCAAATTAAAGGAAAATTAAATACAAATCGAGTCACCAAATAACAAAAAGGAACTGGAAGGGATCTGGGTGACAGAAAATTTGTGAAAACAAAGAATAAGGAAAAAAAAGGTATTGGTTGGGAGACTTATCAGGATACTGCCTGGGCTGTAGGGTTGGGGGTAGGTTATTTTTAACAGTGTAGCTCCATGTAACCCTTAGTTCACTTACCTTTGCTGGCGCTGATCATCTGCAGAACCATCTCAGCAGCTCCTCGGTCGTGGAGTCTCGCTTGCTGATAAAGAAGCTTTTGCTTCTCCATTTCCTTCTCCTAAAGAGAAAGACAGCAGGTAATCAAATGAAGGTAAATGAAGCATTTCCTTTTGTCCGACAAGAAGACTTTGTTCGTTTTAAAACCTAGGGCTCTATGCTAACTTCTCAGGCCATGCATATTTGAGGCCTAACACTGAAATTTTGACTTTGCTGTTACCTGTATGCAGTCCATCTTTGCAGGAGGCTGACAAATGAGGTCAAGACATCTGCCTCACTGCATTTCAATAGTCAAACTAGTTCCTTCAACCATCTTAGAGCTGGAGTATCCTTTTTGGAGGAGATTGCACAAACAAATGAACTGATCCAAAATAAAGCCCTTTCTAGCAGGAATCTGGCATTCTCTTTAGGTCATGTACTGGGTTGTCAACAAACACAGGTGTTCACAGGGTAGAATACAGAAACTTTTATCTTCTTGCTGTAGGATGATGTGAGAAAATACTTGCTGCACTTTAAGCCTGTTTCCATCAACACACTGTGGCTCAGAACTTCCAGCATAGCCACCCTTGGTACGTGCTTGGAATTCATTTTAGGTTATTAATCAAGCGTGATTTGGAATGTTGAAGAGAAGAAGGCGCAAACATTTTTAACTTGCATTGATTAAGTGTTTTCCAAATTGCCCGGTTTAATGAAAAATGTTCGAATTTGGCCAGTGTGGGACAGAATGCATGCCCCAAAAACAGCAGCTCATCTTTGTTTCAGCCCAATCACAACAGGCAAGTAATGCACGGGCAGAATTAGCTCCCAAGCACACCGTGTGTAAGTGCGGTGAGGAACACCACAGCAGGTCTTTTCCAGCAGTGGAGGATGGAAACAGGCTTGACACGACCCCTGGCGCAAACGTGGATGGAACAAATCCGAATTCCTGGTAGATTTGAAGCCTGCAAGTCAACTATAAAGAGGATACCGCAGCTTCGATGGGACAAAGTTGGATACCAACAGAAGACAGTCTAGAGCCCTGCAGAGTACAGCAGCATTGGGCGTTCAATGGTGCGGCTGAAAGCTGAAAACATGGGGGCGTGAAACAATTAAATCTGCATCATGTCCAGACAAAAAAAATTTTGGGAGACATGTGTGGCTTATGAGGAGCAGCAGCAGTAGTAGCAGCAAAAAGCAGGTCGTCATGAAGCTGGTTTTGCTGCCTTTGAGTTCTATTGGAATTACTCAGAAACACGCTGAAAGAACGAAAAATTCAGATGGAAGAGGTTAAAAAAAAAAGAAGGCTTTTACGGGAATCTACCTAAATATAAAATATAGGGGACAAAAGCAAGAAAGGACACAAATGAAGGAAATAATGGACTAGAAACAAAAACTACTGAAATACTGTAGATGACACTAACATAGAACAATTAGTGGGTTTTTGTTTGTTTTCTTTTCTTTTTTTTTGTTTTACCAGAGTCGTTTCCCAGAAGCTGCCAAATTTGTTTCGTAAATCTTTGATTATATCAAGCTGCAAAAACAAAATTAGTCAGTTTTTTGTCATTTCCATGTAGCAAAAAAAAACTCCTTGTCTGGAAAACAAATGGTGATCAATCTAAAATGGGAGTGCAAAGTAAAAGTGCAGCCTTGCTTCACTTAGCCATGCCAAAATGTGACAGTTTTGCCTTCATTTTCAACCTCTTCCTCAGTAGCCACACAGTGAAAGAAAACAAAATTCTGTCAGTTCGTAAGTCTCTTTTTCAGTAAAGCTGCAGCATTCCTATTGTCACCTCAAAAGGGATGGATTTGCTATTTTTCACAACTTGCCCTCTTTCTGTTATTTTCACTCCTCCTTTAGGAATACAGGAACAGCACTAGGCCATTCAGCCCATCAAACTTGCCTTGCCATTCAACACAGTCATGGCTGATTGAACATTTCAATGCCTTTTACCCACTTCATCCAGGTAACCAGGAATACCACTGGCAATCAGGAACCTACCAATCTCTATCTGAAACATACTCAAAGACTGAAGCTCCAAAGCCCTCCTGGTAGAGAATTCCAAAGGTTCACAACCCTCTGATTAAGATCCATCTTGGACCTAAGTGACATCCTTTTATTTTTAAATCCCCCCACAGTTCTATCTCCTCAGCAGGGTAACACCCTACCTGCATTGACCCTGTCCATCTACATTTAGGTGCGGTCTGTTTTAGGTAATTGGAGGTGATTAGCTCAGCTGGCTAGACGACTATTGTGTGGTTTGTTCAGAATAATGCCAACAGCGAGGGTTCAAAACCCATTCTGGCTGAGATAGACTTGGTACCTATGCTCTTGCTCTCAACCCTGAAAGGGGAAGGCAACAACAAACTATCACTTATAATAAAACCATTGAGATAACAGCTCAGGATGAAGCAGACAGTGTGCCAAGGACTTGCCTTCAGGCAGAGAACAAAAATATAAACTAAAGAATATTAGGTACAACTTCTCAACTGGAAAGATCCTTGATAATAGCAGCAAGGAAACAGATGAGAGTGAATGGTCCTCTAGATTCCCCTGTCTTTGGGTGGTGAGGGAAAGGTGGAGAGCCTTTAGCATCTTACCATGTTAACTGGCTGGGACTTGTAATTTACTGTTTTGGAAGTTCCATGATGTAATAGTAGCATTGCATTGTCATGACTGTAAATATAAAAGGCGACCACAATTAATGGCACACATTTGTCTGTAATTGATCAATGAATGGGACCCACTCTGAAGAGGTTAGATTTTGTCCAGGTAGCTCAATTCCTAGTAGTTGCTGCAAGTTGCTGCAAGTGGGAGGTACAAACAAGATGATGCATTCTTCAGGACACCTGGTATCTGATGGAACAGGTCAACCAAGGGTATATCTCATTCCAACCATTTACAAGGGTTGTAAATGAATGATGCAGAGTCTGAACAAGGAATTGCAAGTTTGGACACTGAATTCAACGTCAAGTCAGGTACTGCAAGTGCAATAAAGAGAGGGAAAAAGAAGGTTGGATTAAGAGAAGCAAAAAGAAGAGGCTGAAAGAAAAAAAATTAAAAGGCCGTTACGTCCTTTTTAAGGACAACAATTGTCATTTACAGAGTGTATTTAAAATAATAAGATGCCCAAATTGCTTCACAGGGATGTTAGAAAACAACATTTAGGATTGACTCACATAATGAGATATAACGGCAGATGGCTGAAAGCAATTGCTTAAAGACATGGCTTTAAAGGGGCCCTTAGAGGATGAAAGTAGGTTAAAGAGGCAGAGGTGTTTAGGGAGGGAATTCTGGAGCTAAGAGTCTTGACAGCTCAAGGTGTCAAAAGGGAGAGCTATTTACAAAATCAAAGATGCTGAAGAAGCCAGAATCGGAGAGTTACAGGGACGTAGCAAGAGCAAGTCAATGGAGAAATTCAGAAATGAGAACTGTACGACTGAAGCTGGCTTAACTGGGAGCCAATGCAGATCAGAGAACCTGGTGGTAAAGATGAATGGGACTTGGTTCAGGATAGGACAAATCAATAGAGTTTAGGATAGCCTTTAAGTTCAAAAGAAATAAAGTTAAAAGAATGAATTCCATTTTGTCATAGCTTATTCCATTTTCAGCACCAGGATAGTTGACTGTTTGTAAATAACATTTACCAGGTAATGGGTATTTAGACTTTAAATGATTAAATCTTTACTTGCTGTAGTGAACTTAGTTTGTGCCCAATGTGGAAGTACTGAAGTTTCCGCCTCTTCAATTCAAGACAGAATGCAAGGTACCGTTTTCCCGGAACTAATGGCAGAGGGCTTCAATGTGAACAACAATTTTCAGATCTTTTGTTACAAAGGTTCATGATATATGAATATTGTTTGTTGAGAATTTGAGTTCTAAAGTGGAGGAAAAATTGGTCTTAGATTTTCAGTTCTGTGAAGATCACACCTGCAATTTTCCAAAGGTCAGAAGTTAATTTTGAATAGTAAATTGAAAACAGCATTTACATGAGGTCATGTGATTGCAACAGAGTGACCAGCAAGTAGCCAAGTGGAGATAATTCTAAGGTATTTTTTCAGACTTGAGTTTTATGACCACCAGAGAGAGAAAGGGAGGGGGCAGAGGCAGTTTTATGCAGAAGGAAGAGGCCCATTAAGAACAGATGAGCTGCTATTAGCAGTCTCCAAGCAGTCAGGGCTAGGAAGGTGTTTAAAGTCATTGAGAAGAAAGCCCCAGAAGCAGGAAGCCGTGGAGTGTCTGAGAGGAACACATTGTCCAAGACTGTTGAAAATGAGTCCAGGGAAGCCATGTGAAGTAAAATGAGCTGTTCGATGACCATGTCAGATCCTGTGTACTGTGAATATTTTTAATTTTTCAAATTCCAGTTGTATTTTTTAAAAGAGGGCTGATGCAGCCAAAAATGGCTGTGAATATAATTTAAGTGGCTGTCTGCAAAGAAAGTGAGAGAGACCCGCCGAATATCTTGTCTACAATGTGACGGGAACTTCAAACTTTAGCCCTTCCGGGAGGGGATGAGGCAAGTCAAAAGAGCCTGGACTGCGATCTCTTGTTACTATGTAGATGTCAGCAGCTGATAATTACATGCTCAACAGCAAGCAGTCTGTGCAGATGCATTTTATGTTTTCCCTTTAAAGAATACACAGGTTTGGAGTTAAGAAACCAGATGCAACTCCATGAAGTGGGCTAGCGGGATTGAACATCCCATGTGTGTATTAGCCTGGGTCCAAGCATTAGCATGCTGTGAAGGTCATAGTCAAAAATCCATCCCCTAGTTACCCTCGTGTTAGAGGTAAAGGAGGATCTTCACACTTTGACTGCTGCCTGCCATTAGAAAGGAAACAAGACAACAAAAGTAATGCTAGAGTTCATCCACAGTAGAGAGGACACGATGGGCCAAAGGGCCTTGTTCCATGTTGCAAAACCCTATGACTCTAAACAGAACACCAACCAATCTGTAAAACTAAGTATCAATAAAAACATCTGATCAATTACAAATGTCAAGGCTACCGGCAACTTCCACTGCAATGGTCTCAAGTTTAACTATCCACTCTTGGCTAACAATTCAGAAACTGATCCACATATCTTTCTTTATAACCTTTTTTCTGGACTAATCTGTCATTAATAATCTGTGTATATCTGCATTACAGAACTAATTCTTCCTGCATTAAGTTATTAATAAACTCACTCTTTGTCAACTCACAAAGGCCCGTTCAACTGGTTCATTTTAAACTATGAGTTCATTTGGGTCTGGGAGAAAAGTAATCAGAATGGTTTTTAAATTAATCTCATTGTGAACAACAGAGGAGTGGGTGAATACAGAACGGGAAGCCAGTTCATAGGCATCTCTTAGCTATAGGGATTTCATAATCTTATAGAAATCTATTAGCTGCTAACATGACTAGACAGGATAGAAGCAGGAAGAATGTTCCTGATGACCCTGGGCTCCAGAGCCAGGGAACCTGTTTAAGGTTTTAGAGTAGACCATTTAGGATGAAGAGGAGGAGAACTTCTTTACTTAGAGAGTAGTCAGCCTGTGGAATTCTCTGTCACTGAAAGGAGTCGAGGCTAAAATACTAAAAGCTTTCAAACAGAGTTAGAAAAAATTCTTAGGGTTGAAAGGATCAAAGGTTATAGTGCAAAGTGGAAACACAGTACTAAGTTGAATGATCAGCCATGATCATATCGAATGTTGGAGCAGACCCAAAGGGCCAAATGGCCTAATCCTGCTCTGAATTTCTACGTTTCAACCCTCTTCACATTGGAGCTGAACGACTTTGGGTATGCCGTCTGGAACCATTGCAAATTGAAGAATCTTGCTGGTGTCTGAGTGCAACAGCAGAGTTAATCATTTGTTTTTTAAGGGTCACGACAGGCAATAATTGAAGCAAACAACATCTAATGAAAGCACAGCGATTTGCTGAAAAAAACCCAATTACAGCTGTGCCAGCTGAGCAAGAGGCTTCAATGTGGAGAAAGAGGTGACTCTTCACTGCATTTTCAGTGTTGGTCCGGGCATTGCTGGGATCACAGGGATGAATCTTTCTTCCTGGTGTTTGTAATGAGATTGCTCAAATAGTTTTTGTCAATTGTAACATAATTCAATATTTTCTATTATGTATTAAACATTTGTGTTCTTTTATTAGAAGTAGATAGGCAGCCTATGATTACATTCAGTAACAGAGCTCTGTGGTAAACAAAAAGAAAAATAAAACTTATGGTCTATCTATCCAGGTTTCACTGTTGGATCTGACATGTCCAGGAATACCATCAGCTGGGATACAAGCAACATTTAACTACATATCTGCCTGGACCTAAAAATACTATGTGATTTGTCCACCAATAATGGTGAGTAGCATTATCCTCATTTTATTGAGGGGAAAATTTGGAGCAATATATTGAGAAATTGGCATAACTTTTTCATGTAGCACTTCATAGTTGGGAGGTGAAATGGCTTGAATGGTTGTGTTCTATTAGCCTACTTGTCAACTTTGTAGACAAGTTGCCAATCTATATGCCAATAGATGTCTTTTTGTGGCAACCAATATTTAAAAAATGTCAAATCCCTTCCCACGTTTTAGAAAGTGTCACAGGATGTTTTCAACTAACTGTGTCAAAGTAATCTAAACTGAAGTAATCAATCTGCCGTCAGATTTTATAAATATGATAGGATTTAGAAATTATTCTTCCTGTATTGAATCAAATTTATTTTTGAAAGTTAAATCATTCTGACAGCGATTCTTAATTGTTATTTTATTGAGTTTTGAAATCCATGCTGGTGGTTGTAAAAGGGTCACTTCAACCTTAGGAACAGGAAATGAAGGGTCTGTGGAGTTGGGGGTTATAATTACCTCTGGATATTAATGTAAAGCATGCAGATTGTTACTAAACATGGGCATTAGATTACACCTTGTCAGAGATTCAACGAATAAAGAATCTGCTTTGCCATTCTTTGATCATTCTTACTACTTACCATCCGTGTGATGGCTTTATGGTCCTCACTGGTATCCAGTGATGGTTCAATTATATATATATGAGAAACAGTGGTGTAAAGTATTCCAGATTCCACAATGATGTAATCTAATTTCAAGAAGCAGATATTTGTCCTCAGGACCCAAGGTTCTACATGGAGATATCAAACTAACAAACAAATGCCACCATACACATTCCAGCCTGCTCATAATTTATCAATTGTGTATGAGGACACTGCTGAAGTTGAACATTTGATTCAACACAAAATAAGCAGCACGTTCACAGGGGGAGAGCTCAAAGCATTTGGCATTAAGCAAGAAGGTCTACAAAAGGAAATTAGTTTAGATATGAAATCTATGGAATATAATCTAATATGTATCATCTGAAAGACTAATCATGGAATCTCTTACTTCAAAGCTTTTGACTTCTTCCTCACCATCCTCATCTTCTTCCACATGACAGCTCTGCAGTAAAAATAAAGTTAAATGTCTGGTAAAATGAATTTCAATTTAAAGCATGAAGCATTGTAAATGGCTACGTTCTTTGCATATGAATTTAGAGCTTAAATTCAAAACAGGTGCATTACGTCAATTACGTCTCTTTCTCGCTGCAAAACCCATCTGTGATTCAGTCACTACAAGGTCAGGAGCCGCCTGCATCAACATTAAAAGGAACAGAGAGCTGTGGAAACCCAATAAATGGACAGAAAAATTCAAAGTGCTATCACTGGCAGTACAAAGTGAGGAGCATCAAGAGTCGGAGATTCACAGTTGTAATGATTGGAACTAGATTGACCTCATTGACTATGAGGTTGCTGATTGGGATTGCTAACCTGGGCCAATCAAGAAAAGCCCTGGCTGACCAACATAACCAGGAGATTAGAATCCCCTCAGTTCAGGCGACTGTCTCTGAGCTAGCTGACCACAGCCAGTGTACTGTGCACAAGTAAATAAAGAGTGACTTGGTGACGGGATACCAGCCTCTGTGCAGTTATTTCAACAGTCAAGAGTTTAATTTCTTTAAGCATTAACAGCACTGCATTATTTAAGCAGATACGTAGGTCTAAGAAAAGGATGATGCCAACTGCTCATTAGAACGTTAGAAAGGGCGAAACCAAGATAGAATGGTAGGAAAGGGTGAAAGTGAGTGAAGGATGAAGGGGAGTTCAGGGTGACAGAAAACTATGAAGGTGGGTGCAGCATGGTAGAAAAGGATGAGGATGAGTGCAGGGTGGGATGGAAAAGGATGATGATCAGTGCAGTGTGATAAGGACAAGGCCAGGGGCAAAGCAGCAGAAAAGAATGGCCTGTAAGCTGCACAGGAGAAAATCAGGAAGTAATATCACAACATGAGGTGAGGCAGTGGGACTATGTTACAGGTAAATAATTAATTTAATCTACATTTTATGTAAATTATGTCAAGCAAGTAGCTAAGAAATTGATTAAATACATCAACATTAATGAACTAAAATTATACCAAATATGATAATGTAAGTGGGTGTGCATAAATTGCAACATAGTGGAGTATCACATGCAAATAATTAGAAATGCAGCAAGTGCCAACATCTTGAGGAACTTTAATTCAATGTTGTCGAGCTGTAGTACAAGCCAAAGACATTGAGCTATTGTGATAAAGAGAGTGACCCAGATACTTTGATCCAGGCTGTAGTTGCACTCCTTAGCTTAGGTACTGATGGTGGCCTGTTTAATGATCGTGGACAGGACACTGTGACTGTGAGTCAGGCAGGTAAGGGAATTTCACATGCACTGGTAGAGGAGTCTGAGCCTTTACCCTCACTAAATAGTTACAAGGTTCTTGCTGCCTGTGTGAATCAAGGTAACAGCTACAAGGGTATATGAGCAAACTGGCTCGCTTGGTATTAGAGACAGCTCAGAGAAAACTCACCAGGTCAATCCTGATATAGAGGGACCATCTTATGAGGAGACGTTGAGTAGGTTTGGCATGTATACATTAGAGTTTAGAGGAATGAGAGAAGATCTTATTGAAACATACCAGATTCTGAGGAGACTCGATAGGAAAGATGTGAAAAAGTTGTTTCCCCTTGTGAGAGAGTCTAGGACCAGAGAGCACAATCTCAGAATAAGGGGTCACACATTTAAGACAGAGATAAGGAGGAATTTCTTCTCTGAGTCTGGTGAATCTGTGAATCTTTACCACAGAGGGTTGTACAGGTTGAGTTGTTAATTATTTCAAGATTGACATCGACAGATTTGTGACTAGTTAAGGAAATCAAGGATTACGGGGAAAAGACAAGAAAATGGAGTTGGGGATTATCAAATCAGTGATAATCTTATTGAATGGCAAAGGAGTCTCGATGGGCTAAATGATCTTTTTTTACTCCTGCTTATGATCTAATGACGTACCTGGCCAGGGCACTATGGAACAGGGAATCATTCAACTGGGGGAAGGCTTAAGGATATACGATATTTGTACGGACCAGTAAACAGAGGGAGATAAATTGCATTCTCTGCAGACAGGACCAAGAAAACAAGCTTATTTTGCTTGTCTGGTGATAGTGCTAAGCCTGGAGAAGCATTTGAAAGAGAATGTTAAAGATAGAACCAGTGCCAATGGGAAGTCTAACGTGGTGGAGACCACTTTGACATAGCTTTTAAATCTCAACCTTGACATCAGCATCCTGCTTCTGGGCTTTCCGATCAACCGGAGCAAGTGATGACAATACAACGTAAAGAATGGAATGTACACATACAAACACACACACGTCAGCCTCTGAATTGAAGCAGAAAAGGTGAGCTACAAGAATGTGGTTTCTCATTTATGGATGCAGTGCCACAAGAGGTTCCACAACCTAATCAGGGCAGGAAAGATTAGCAGCAAGTCACTTTCAAATGGCTGAGATAACAAGGTGTAGAGCTGGATGAACACAGCAGGTCAAGCAGCATCAGAGGAACAGGAAAGCTGACGTTTCGGGCCTAGACCCTTCTTCTAGGCCCGAAACATCAGCCTTCCTG